GGACCTCGGCACCCAGCGCCCGGCGCCCCCGGCTGCCGGAGCTGCCCGCGCGCCATCCCGCCGCAGGGTCGGTCCGCAGCCTTCGGTGCGCCCGCGCTCTCCCTCCTCCTCCTCCAGGGCTCCGGCCCTTCGCCACCGCCACCCACCATGGCTCGTGGCCCCGCTCAGACCAGCCCGGGACCGGGGCCCCAACTGCTGACGCTGCTGCCACTGCTTCTGCTGCTGCTCCGGGACGCAGGCGGCAGCCACACGGCCCCTGCTGGGTCCGCCCTGCCTGCGGCTGCCGACGGCCTGGCGGGGGACAAGGATCCCCAGTGGTCCCTGGGGGATGCGGCCACCGCTCTAGGCCCTGGCGCTCAGGACATGGTCGCTGTCCACATGCTCCGGCTTTATGAGAAATACAGCCGAAGGGGCGCGCGGCCTGGAGGGGGCAACACGGTCCGCAGCTTCCGGGCCCGGCTGGGTAAGTAGAGGGGGCCCCGGGGCCCCTTCTCCTCATTCCCCCTCCCTTACTTGTCCATCCTCCCCACCTTTGCACCTCTGCTTTTCCTCTTCCTTCTATTCATTGACTCCTTCATTCATTCTTTCATTAACTATTCACTGAGCACTCTATACTGGGCCCTGAGTAGGGACACCGAAGTGGCAGAGTGAGGGAGACTTCCTGCCCTTGGGGTGCTGCCACACTTGCTGGACACAGACCACCCCAGGCACAAGGCTTTAAGCGCAAGGTGGAGGTGGGACTGGGCTGGGAGAGCTTATGGGAAAGGTATCCATGTCAGAGGGGTCAGTTGTGCTGGCTCTTGACAGATGAGGAGGGCACAGTCAGGTGGGAATGAGGCAGCCCTGATAGAAGTACCAGGCACTGGGCCCAGGCAGGAACATGAACCTCTAGCTGGGTGCAGTTAGTGGTTTCCGGGGCTGGGGAAGCAGAGTGGACTGAGAAGGGCCTTGGACGCCCAGTCTCAGGTGCACGGGACTGAGGCCTGCTGGGCACTAGCACGAAGACTACGGGGGTTTAAGGAAGGATCCAAATGCTTGGGCTGTGAGGGCACCCCACCCCTATCTGGCCCTTGCCCTACCTGGGCAGATCCTTTCCCCTCTCCCTGCACTTTGGCTGGAGCTGGACAGAGGCCACTTGCAGAGCCCTCCCTGCCCTGAGCCAAGAGCACTTCCAGACTCTAGCCTCAGCTGTCTGCCCACCTTCCCGGGCTGGGCTACATCTGCAGGCCCCAGGCTAGCAGAGGAGGTGCAGCCTGGTGGCAGGGGTGGTGGGACATCTCTGGTTGTCGTGGAGACTACTCGTGGTCACAGAATGCCATTCCAGAAAATGTGGGTAGGGATCCCCTGGCACCCTTGTGGGGGAGGAAGCCATTCATCAGGAGGAAGATCCTCAGTCTGTAGGGTCCCCTCTTGAGGTGGAGGGGAACAAGCCCAACATTGGGCCAGACAACCTGGGGTCACATCTGCCACCTGTTGATCACTGGCTGTGTGACTCGAGGTAACATCCATGGCCTCACACAGTACATGACTGTGTACTGGGGAGCACCTGCCACAGAGAGGCCCCGTCCCCCATCCTCCACTGAGCAGACTCACTAGGTCAGTGTCCCTGGGCTCCAGACCAACAGAATCTAACTCCATCCTCCCTGGTACCTTTTATTCACTAGTTGGGGTCCATTTCCGGAGCATCATTATTAAATTAGTCACTTAAGAATCATCTAGCATGACCGTGACTTTGGGCAAGTCACCAAAGCTCTGTGGACTTGAGTGTACTCATCTACAAAATGGGCAGGTCATGCCGGTATCTTCCCTGTGGGGTTGCAGGAAAGATGAGATGAGGTAATGTGTGTAAGCCCCGAGCCCAGCACTGGCCAGATGAGGTGTTGGCGCATGTTGTTCCCCTGGGGGTGCAAAGCATTTGTGTTCATAGAGGGGTAGACTTGACCTTGCATCCATGAACTCAGCCCTCAAAGCCTTGCAGTTGAGGAAAACAGGGCCAGCAAGGTCGCTGCTTCAATACCCATTGTGCCCCCAACTTGCTGCAGCCCTGAGCGTGGAGGAGCGTGGTCTGTCTTTCTCTTTTCACAGAATGGGTGTGGTATAAGTAACAGTGAAGCAGAGGATGTTAGCCCTGAAAAGGAACTGGAGACAATACTTCAAATCCAGCTCTCCAATTTTGCAGATAAGGAAACTGAGGCTGGGGGGAGTGGGGCTGTTCACAGTGGTGATGGTTGGCACCTCCCATCTGCCAGGCCAATGCTCTTCTCACTGCAAGCCTCCTCCCTGCACCTCCATCAGAACTAAGCCCAGGACTTTGGCGACAGATGGTGGAACAGACAATTCTGAGAGATCAGAATTATTCTGGACCAGTCTGGGGCTGTCTGACAACTCCTACACTCTTGTTTGGAACCATTTGACAGCCATGGGTACCAGTCCCAGCTCCACCAGCTACTGGCTGCGTGCTGTGGCACATGTCACTTGACCTCTCTGAGCATCAGTTTCTTGTGCGTCATTGGGGAGGTGAAGAATCAGTGGGATAAGGTGGGTTTTTTGCCTGGTGTGGAGTGGGCCTAGGCAGCTTGGTTCCTCATCCTCTCCCTTGATTGACTGAAGTTGTTTCACACCCAGCCCTCAGAGGTGCCTGCTTCGTGACCTAGAGACCCAGTGGGGAGGAATTGTGAGCCTGGACAGGGACCCCTCATCTTATGGGTGAGGCCCAAATGTGGGGGCATCTGCTCTGGTCCTAGACCGTACTGGTACCAGCCTGCTCCATGCCGGTGGCCTCTGCCACCTCAGTGGGTGGCGCCTCTTCCTGAGCAACAAATGCATCAGTCCTGGCTGCAGTGGAAACGGCTCCTCACCTGCCGCCAGGCAGCGCAGCTCGGGTTCCGCGTGCAGGCTGTGGGCGGACTGGAGGGTCCAAATCCCGAGTCTGGGACCTGAGCAGGGGACTGAACATGTCCGTGACTCAGTTTTTTTCACTTCTAAAATGAGGCTAATGATGCTCCCTTCCATATAAGTTTTTAAAAATGAACTAGGATATGTCCAGTGCTGAAAACAGTGCCTGGCACATGTAAGTGTCAATAATTTATTAGCTCCTGCTATTATTACTCCGGCCACGCCCCCCTTCCATTGCTCCCTGGAGTGTGCTTTGTTCTCTATTAAGTCCACATCAGTGGAGAGAGCTTCTGAGCCTGACCTTAAAGGGTTAAGGTTAGACAACCTCTACCCCAAATGACCTGTCTTTCAATTTGAGCTTTTCCACCTACCTGTGTGATATTGGGCAATTTACTTAACCTCTCTGAGCTTGATTTCTTCATCTCTAAAATGAGAATAATAATACACATCCATCTGTCAAAAATGCCAAAAGTCACGTTCATTTCAGTTCCCCAAGCACGTCATTAGGTGGCAGGTGCTGTAAGCTCGGAGGACACAAAGATGCCTAGACTGTTGGCTCTGCCCGGAAAAGCTCATGAGCTGGTGGGACAGGGAGAAGTGAGCAGAAGAACATGGGCAGCAGGACAGGTGGTGCGGCGAGTGACAAAGGGCTCAGGGTGTCTCAAGGGACAGCACTGATCCACGTGAGGGGCCGGTGGACAGGGGTCAGTGAGCCTTCACAGAGCAGGTGAGGCCAGACAGCCTCTGAAGGGCAGGAGGTGTAGCTGGCTGTAGAAGTGAAGCAGCCTGCTGTGTGCTGGGGGCTGTGAGGAGTCTGGCTTCAATGAGGAAGCCATGATGGGAGTGGACCGGGGGCCACAACCGGGCCATCAAGAGCCTTGCATTTTACAAGTTTGTCTGTAGGCAGTGGGGCAGTATGTGGGTGTGTCCACAGTGGAGGGGGAGGGGGAAGGGAGGGACGGAGAGGGAGAGGCAGAGAAGGGGAAGAAAGGGAAAGAGAGAGAGGGAGAGACGTTGTAAAAGAAATGCATATTTAATGGAGAAAATCTGGAAATCCTAAAAAATTACAGTAAAGACAAGAAGTCATCCCTAATCACAAACCCAGATATAACCAGAGTTAATGTTTTGATGGAATATGTATATACACACATACATATACATATATATGTATATATGGGTGGCGCGCATATATATATCCTTTTATCCATATATATATATATCCTTTTTTACCCTAATAGAATCATGTTTTCAACATGCAGGTAAAACTTGAAGTTACTTTCTTTCATCACTGGTCATCCTGAACTGGTTTTCATGCTATTTGCCATTTGCAACTGTTCCTGTGGAAACTGCTTCTATCTCTCGGGGTTCTTGTCTTTTTCTTAGTGATTTGTAGAGGTTTTTTGTATAGTAAGGACATTACTGCTTCATCTATAATAGATGATTTCCTTATGAAGCGTGAGTGTGACGTGAGGGGTGACAGTGTCCTGTGGTCACAGTGGCGGTTGCGGCTGGGCCCTGGACGAGGCCGTGGTGGAAGGATGCAAAGTTCGAGATGGTTGTGGACAAGAGGATGGAGACCTAACAGGAGCTGGGATTGGTTAGAGGCAGGAGGGGAGAGGCCACAAGAATTCTCAGGCTCCTGCTGGAGGGGTGGACAGGTGGCCACAAGGACACAAGTTTGGGCACAAGGACAGGGAGAAAGGTGTGTGCCCTGCCTATGGCAGTGGCCTGTGATGCCACATGGCCAGTATGTTCTGAGCACGTGCCGAGTCGCCAGGCACCGAGCTGTGAGCTCTGCAGAGACGATCTTGCAATCTTAGGAGGCACATGCAAACATTCTGCCCAGTTTACAGATGAGGAAACGGAGGTACAGAGAGGTTCCATGACTTGCCTGAGGCCCCACAGCTAGTAAGTGATGCACACAGGATTTAAATCCTGACTCTGGAGCCTGCATGAAACTAGACACTAGATACCTGTTAGTTCTCTTTCCCTCTCTGCAGTGCCACTGGCTGCCCCACAGCTTCCTTCCTCCAGCTTGTTGCCTGCACATTCAGCCCAGCGTTCTCACTCTGGTCACCCTGCTGGCTGTTTCAAGGGTAAATGGATGAAGGGACTCATCTCTAGGTGGCTTGGATTCTGTTTCTATAGGGCAAGCAGTCTGAGGGTCCCCTTGACCTGAGGGTTGGCCAGCAGGGAGCCTGGGGGCCCCCTGAGCTAGGGCCCCTTCCCGACCTCTTTCCTCTCCAGTCCCATCCCCACTGAACTGGGAAGGAGGTTGAGTGCCCAGCAAAGTGGCCCTGGCTGGAGTTCTGAGATTTCCAGAGATCCACAGAGATCAGCTTGTCTGAATAAGGTCAGTCCTTTCTTTCTAGACCTGGAGTTTAATATACCTAGCACACAGGGGCCTCCCTTGCTCTGTAAAGCTATGATGGGCACTACAGCTGGGCATCGCCACGATTACTAGTCTGTCTCATCCCCAGCCTGAGCTCCTTGAGGGCACCTCGACAGGACCCCGGCCAGCCCAACACTTAGCCCAGAATAGGAGCTTCCCAAATGTTTATTGGGAAAAGGGAAGGAGGCAGGGAGGAAAGAAAGAGGGGAGGCATGGAAGACCTTTTCTAGCTGACTATGAGACATGAGCTACCAGCACGGTTCAGAGGAAACAAGGACTTCTCTTTGGGGCTTCTGCATTGCAGGCTGGGCTCATCCAAGCTAGGAGACTTCAGACAGGTGCTCCTCTCAGCCACGGCCTGGAGCCCCCAGCATCTCATGCATGCAGGCACAGTCAGAGAGCAGGGCTAGCCTGTGGCCCTTCATGCACTGGGGATGAGGATGACCCATCTCCACCTCAACAGTTCCAAGCAGGGAGGGTTTTCATGGGCAGGCTGCCTAGGGAGGGGCGAGCTCCCTACGGCCAAAGGCGGTCAAGCCAGACAGAGCAAGGACTCCTGCCCTGAGTGGAATTGATGGGCTGGGTGACCTCTAAGGTTCCTCGTCCTCTGAATCCCTGAGCATGCTCTCTTCTCCGTCCTAAGGGCAGGGCAGCACTTGCTGTCCCCCTCCTGCACCCTGTGCAGACATAACCTCCAGGGAAGGCCAGTCCTCCTCTGCACCACTTCTTGCCTGCCAGGGGGAAAGTCCTCCCAACACCTTCTTTGGGCCACACTCGCTTCCAGCCAAAGTTGCTCTCCCTGCCGTGGTGCTCACAGTTGTCCTTCTTTATACTCTCTCTCATTCTTTACCTCATCACTGCAAGGGGGGTCAAAGTGTTTTTCTCTGGGGAGCCCCATCTCTTGCCCCCCTAGTCTCCCATTTTCCTCCTCGCCGAGCCCTGGAGGTTTCCAGGCCAGAGATGCTTGCGTCCTGCTTGCTGCCATGGACCAGCTCTTCAGAAAGAGAAGTGTCTGTCCTAGAGCCTCTCAAGTGTTTTCTAGCAAAGAATCTGTTAGTAGAACAATAGAGTTAAGACTTGAACTGGATAAAAGGAAAACACTTTATCTGCCATGTTAGTTGGGTCACAACTCAGATATTTGGATCATTGAGTGGGAGGTACCCGATTTGGTGTAGGAGGAGCCTGCTCTGCCAGCCTTGGTCTTTTACATGAAAGTGGCAGGGAACCACATTTGGGGGCTCCTCCTTTGTGCCTGGCACATTACATATGTCATTTATTTAATCCTCCAAATGATCATATGAGATAGAGATTCTGTTGTCCCTCTGAGGCAGATGAGCTTGGTGTGGTCCTGTCGGGGCCTGGAACCCTAGTTCCGAGGGCCTTTCCTAGTGTGGGAGGGGCTGCCTTGCTGGTGATATTGCACCCCACCCACAGGTCAACCCCAGATACGCAGCCACCATCCACCAGTGCTTCCCAATCTTGCCTGATGGTTAGAATCCCCTGGGTTGCTGGTTAAAATACAAATTCCTGGGCCTCATTGTCCCAGACGCTCTGAATCAGCATATCCAGAGGAAGGCAGTGAGCAGGAAGTTTGGGTAACACAGGACTGGAGACCATGACATTCAAGGCTGTGTTTGGGAAAGCCAAGTTTAAATGACCATCAAGACCATGTGCTCCTCCTTATGTGTGGAGCATGTTGAGGGGCCACCACACCTCTCTGTGGGTTTGTTCTGAGGATAAGATAAGGCATTGTCTCTAGAATGTCACCTAAGCTTTGACTGGCATTCATCGAGCCTCCATAGATGTGCTTTTCCCTTCCTTCCTCTTTCTCATAGTCCCTTAAGAGTGCATGACAAATTTTCCCATCAAATTATGCCTCCTTCCCAATAGAAACAAATAACCTTAAACTGATGATTTTGGTTAAAAAAAAAATCCCAGCTGATCTCGTGGGTACGTGTGTCAGAGAAGCTGTGGCCCCGACACATGCCCTTTGGAGAGCCCAGCGTCCCACACACATACACACTCTTGCACTGGGAGCTCTGTTCCTCTCCCAGCTTTTCCCAGCAGACAGACACCAGGCAGCAGGAAACAAAGCCGTGGGAGGGAGGCAGCCGACAGGCAGCTCTGGTCTCCTGCTGGTCTGCAACATCACAGGGAGGCCTCTGAACGACTCCTCCCTCCCATCCGCACCCTAGAGAGGACTTGGGCATTCAGAGAACTCATGCTGCCCAGGCTCGGGCCAGCTTCCTGGGGCTGCAGACGAGGCTGTCCTGCCCTGGGCCCTGGGGCTCACCTGGGAGAACCAGGCGAGAAGGAAGGGGGGTTGAAGCCCCTGGGATGCAGGGGCCTGAGCGTTCTCGAGCTGCAGATGTGATGTCTGAGGGATTGTGGTCCTTATCATGGTCTGGGCCTCTGGAGTGCAACGTGGACTTCCGGAGATTTCATTGAATGACCTGGTACGACCCTGATATTGCTCTTTCTTTGTAAAACAAGTTTAAAGCCCTTGGGCAGAACAAACAGCAGAGCCCAAATGGCTGTGCTCTTAAGCCCAGTTCCCTGAGCAGGCGCTCAGAACACAGGGAGAGTATGAGGCGCTCTACTCGTTCCACCTCATTTGAAGAGTGACTGCATTTAATGTCTGAATTATAGGAGGCTGTGCAAATACAGGAGGGGCTGCTGTCAGCAGGGCGTGGACCCAACCCAAACCATCCCAAACCCCTGATGCCACCTTATCTGGCTAATGAAGGTGTCAAGGGTCTTTGCTCGTTGGTTCATTGAGAGGCATTGGAGTGCAGGGAGAGGAAACAGGAGGCCTAGGGTCCAGCAGGCCTGAGCGCCTACTCTGCTACGTTGTTTTTGTTTTTTTTTTTTTGCTGTGTGATATTGACAGTCCTCAACCTCTCTGACCTCAGTTCCTCATCTATTCATTGAGGATAACAAAGGGCACCCTCCTCCCGTTAATGTGAGCCTTACACCAGATGAGGAAAGCCTAGCTGGCCTAGAAGTGCTCCCTAAATGGGTGTTCCTCTCCATCCCAGCCCTGGACGGGAGACCCTCTGAGCACCGGGACCTGTGCAGGAAAGAACCTAACAGACTGTGGTCTGTCCTTCCCTAGCAGAAGTGGTCGACCAGAAGGCCGTGTATTTCTTCAACCTGACTTCCATGCAGGACTCGGAAATGATCCTCACGGCCACATTCCACTTCTACTCCGAGCCGAGGTGGCCCCGGGCGCGTGAGGCGCCGTGCAAGCAGCGGGCCAAGAATGCGTCCTGCCGCCTGCTGCCCCCGGGCCCACCCGTGCGCCGGCACCTGCTCTTTCGCAGCCTCTCACAGAACACAGCCACCCAGGGGCTGCTCCGTGGGGCTATGGCCTTGGCGCCGCCTCCACGGGGCCTGTGGCTAGCCAAGGACATCTCCCCCATCGTCAAGGCGGCCCGCCGGGATGGCGAGCTGCTCCTCTCAGCTCAGCTGGATACTGGGGAGAAGGAGCCGGGGGTGTCCAGGCCCAGCCCTCATGCACCCTACATCCTCATCTACGCCAACGATCTGGCCATCTCAGAGCCCAACAGCGTGGCAGTGACACTGCAGAGATATGACCCCTTTCCGGCTGGAGACCCGGAGCCCGGCGTAGCCCCCAACAGCTCGGCAGACCCCCGCGTGCGGCGGGCCACGCAGGCCACAGGGCCCCTTCAGGACAACGAGCTGCCGGGGCTGGACGAGAGGCCGGCACACGCCCCGCACGCCCAGCACTACCACAAGCACGAACTGTGGCCCAGCCCCTTCCGCGCGCTGAAGTCCCGGCCGGGGCGCAAGGACCGCAGGAGGAAGGGCCAGGATGTGTTCGAGGCCTCCTCGCAGGTGCTGGACTTCGACGAGAAGACGATGCAGAAAGCCCGGAGGAAGCAGTGGGACGAGCCGAGGGTCTGCTCCCGGAGGTATCTGAAGGTGGACTTCGCAGACATCGGGTGGAATGAATGGATCATCTCGCCCAAGTCCTTCGACGCCTACTACTGTGCGGGAGCCTGCGAGTTCCCCATGCCCAAGGTAGGCGTGGTGGAGGACCACCGCCGTGTTCTGCCGATGGCTGAGTGTGCCTCTCAGCTCTGCCCCTACCAACAAGTCCCTCTGCCTCTTGACCTCTGCTTCCTGTCTGTAAACTAGGGGTAATAACCCCTCCCGTCCATTCAGAGCGGGGAATAGGAGAACAGAGGTCCCAAAGTGGCTTCCTGTTGGTCAGATACAGCCCACACATGGATGCAGTCAGTCTGTGCTTCTGAAAGTATTGACTTGGTTGAATTTGATTCTTTAAATCAAAGCGTTTTTTCTTTTGGAAAGCAGGAGAATCCATCTCCTTAAGTGTGTGTCACCACACAGCAACAGTCTACAGTGGCTGAGTAGACACTGCCCCTGCCACACCCCACACCCCAGCCAGACATGTCAGACCCCTAAAGCCCCCTTCTCATCAAGGCTCTCGTTTCTCTTCGGGCCTGGACCTCACAGTGCTGGCATCTGTGTCCTGCACAGAACTGGGCTCAGTGGCTTCCCGGTGTGCCCCCCCACACACTCAGGGCAGGAACCAAGGGCAGTTAGCTCTCACCGTGCACGAGGGTGCAGGACACACAGCGTGGGGCTGTTTTATCCATTGTGCTGGCCCTGGGTTTTCAGATTCTCACCTTCTCTCTGGGCTGGGCTGTGTCTCTGTCCATCTATCCCCCGTGGCCTGAGCTGTGGTGGGCTGGCTGCCAGGTAATCTCGACCCCTGGCACACAGCACACACTTGCCTCCTGCTTAGCTCCTCTGCTCAGTTCCAGGTAGGGTCTCCCCTCCAAGAAAGGAAGTCGGTGCATAAATCCAATTTGAACATAAATAAATCAGCCAACTGGGAAATCCCAGACCTAGACATGGGGGGCATTAACCTGTTTGGGAGTTAAGGAGCTTCTCCTCCAAGCTGTGCATGTGCGGAGAGAGGAAGGGAGGTGCCTGACAGACAGGCGTCTGCTGGAAGGTCCCAGCACAGGCCTGGGGCAGATGCAGGACGAGTACTCAGCAGGCTCCAGCTGGCTGACCCCCTACTTACCTTATCAGCCTGGCTCTTGCTGCCTTCCCACATTCCCTGACACCAGCCTGAACCCCATAAATCAGATTTTCCTGCCTCGCTCTTCTCCCCACCTCCCCATGTAAGAGACCGTTCTCATCAACGCACCATAGATAAAGCTCTCTTTGGCTGTGATGAGCTGAAGCGCAGGTGACTTTGTCCTGTCCATCTTGTTGGGGGTGCTTACAGAAGGGCATTCTCTGTGTTTGCCGCTGGGATCCAGACTCCCCTGGATGTGAGAGGCTGCCTGGGGAGGGGAAGAGAGCCGGTGTGGCCCCAGCGAGCACAGTTTCCAAACCCAGCTACTTTCTAGTGGAGGAGTGTTGGTCAAGTTATTTAGTCACTTTTAGCCTCAGTTTCTCCACCAGTAAAATTAAGGTAGTCCTGCCCCAGAAGACTGATACAATGACAAAATGGGGTGATGCAGATGGAACAGCACCTGACACCCCCACGGCAGACTTGCCCAGAAAATGTCAGTTTCCAGCCCCATCACGCTCACGCACACATGCCTGCAGCCCTCCCCTCCAGCGCTGAGAACGTGTTCCCACAGGAAGCACGTCTATACTCCTCAGACTGTAAAATCTGGGCAGCTGTGGCCCCAGGGGGCACTGGCTGGACATGTCCCTCAGCTTTCTCTCTGGACAGCTCCTGCCCAGTTCCAGGTGCTCCTGGGCGATGTGTAACATGCAGGTGCCCCCAAGTGGCCAGTGCCATGTAGGGGCTATGACTTTCCTCTGGGGGCCCCAAGGGGCAGGAAGGCCAGAGGCTCTTGCAAACCTCCCTGGGACTCAGTCTGTGGCTGACTTAGGAAATGTGTGCTAGCCCTGGGATCTCACCTTTTCTTCTGTGTTGCTGCCTTTTCCATGGGCTCAGTCAAGGACGTGCTCACGGCACAGTGGGTGGGTGAGGGCAGGGCACCGAGGTAACCATGCTCCTCTCCCACCTTGCAGATCGTCCGCCCGTCCAACCACGCCACCATCCAGAGCATCGTCAGGGCCGTGGGCATCGTCCCTGGCATCCCAGAGCCTTGTTGCGTCCCCGACAAGATGAACTCTCTTGGGGTCCTCTTCCTGGATGAGAACCGGAACGTGGTTCTGAAGGTGTACCCCAACATGTCCGTGGAGACCTGTGCCTGCCGGTAAGACCAGCTGCTCTGCCATGGAAGGAAACCTCCTCCCCACCCCGCGCCCGGCAGGGCAGCGTCCTTGGAGCCTTCTGGTGTGAGAGCTTGACTTGGGGTGCAGCTGCAAAGGCAGGGCAGAGCACACAGGCAAGCTTGCTGGTCCCCAGAAAGATCTATCCCCCGGGGCATCATTCTGGGGTCTTTCGTTGCTAGTGACTTAGCCTCTAAATGCCGGTCTGAACCCCTGAAGGAGTCTGGGAATTAGCCTTGGCCGGGTGATTGCCGCTGGTCCGTGCCCTCTTCTCTGCAAACCGAACGTGTCCACAATGTTGGCATTTGTGATCATCATCTCATAACCTGGGGAGAAACTGAAAACCTGAGGGTGCTGGCTCCCTTCACCTGGAAAGAACCTCTGTTTAAATAATCAGTTTAAAACACTTCAGGCCACATATTGATCCTGGAAAACAGGACCTAAATAGTGGTATAAATGGATGTTTTCTTTCCAACTCCACTGCAAAAGTTTTTATATATACAGTATGCACCTATAACCAATTTCGGTTTCTTTTTCTTAATATACATTTTATTTTAAAACAAAAAGGAGGGCGTTGACACCATTCCACACAGAGGTAGTCATGCTGGTGAAGTGTGCATTGTTTAAACATGCTTATTGAAATAACACACACAGTAATATGTTGGAATACTAAAAAATAACCAAGATTTTTATATTTTTGTAAATTATACTTTCTATGCTGTAGATTGTGTATGTTATGTGTTTTTATCAAAAGCTAATAAATTAAAGGTACAGTGGTATCTTGAAAAACTAAATGTCACCCATTCCAAAATATTGGTGGATCCCTATCTTTAAGTATAGCATCTGGGTGGCTGCTGGGGACACAGCCTCCTTTAGCATCAGCCAAGGGCCCCCTAGGCCATCTGCATACTCTCTCATCTCTGTGCTAAGCTCCAGAAACTGGCTGCTCCTGTGCCTTCCAGAGTCCTGCCCACCCACTCTGGTCCACAGCCCCTACCCTGGGCTCATTCAGGCAAGACATGGCCCCAGGCAGGGACAGTGGCCTCGCAGAGTTTCCTTGCTCAGAGGGGACATCGAGTGCTTGGGAGGTATCTGAGACATTTAAAGGAACGTCTGCAGTTGCTGGTTACAGACCTTTTACTTGGGCTCCTTCAAGCAAGAGATTCAAAAGAAGCTGTCAGGGGTCTCTCCTGAGGCCCAGGGGCTCCTGAGGTTCTGGAATGTCTGCTTCTCCCTGTGCATGTTTGTAGAATGACCAGCCTGCTTCCTGTCGGCAGCCCTGTCCCAAGATAGCCTCCCCCAAACGGCCCCCTTATCCCCGAGGTGACATGGCCTTACAGTTGTAGTGCCTGAGGCTGGTTGACTGGCATTTCTGAAGAAGCTGGGTCTGTTTAGGGACAGGTGTATAAGAGTCCCTCAGCTGGGACCTGAGAGGATGACGTGGCCCCCAGTCTTCCTTGGAGGAGATGGAGAAGCCATGAGCAGTCCTCCAAGAGGGGACTTAGAAGGAGAAAAGAAGCCCAAGGCATCTGTCTTAGATCAGGCTCCTGAGACCAGGGTTCCTGTGCAAGGGAGATAGAAGGAGGTGCTCCCAGGAGACATAGGGAAGGAGGGGTGCAACAGGACAAGAGAGCAAGAAGCCTAACATCTCAGACGTAGATCCTGTGGGGAGCTCTGGAGCTTAAACTACACCTCAGGGTTAGTCCGGCATTGAGGCAAGGGAGCTGGACGTTCAGACCCCTCCTGGGTGCCCCCCAGTGGGGAGATGGAAACTCCCAGTTCCCTGGCCCTCATGGTGGTTCTGGAAGCCCAGGCAGCCTCTGAAGAAGGCTGCAGTGGCAGCTACTGGAGGCAAAGTGACTGACGCTGGAGAGAGTGCCCAGAAAGGGAGGTCAGGGGGTCTGAAGGCACCTGGGTGGACGGCAGCGAGTGCCCAGCGTCTCCTCTGAGGTGCTCCAAAGGGTCCTGGGACGTGTGTGAACAGCTGCCCCGGGCAGAGTTCAGGGGAGGTGAGGGGCGTGGTCCTCTCCTCACATGCTGCTGTCCTGAGACTAGAGGAGCCATTCATTGGATCGCTGGGATGGCTCAAATTGGTCTGCAAACTTAGTGCTTGGTTTGCCATGTCTAATCCTTTTTGAAACATGACAGGGTATAAATTAATAGCAAAATAAGTAAAAAATTGGGGCTTGATAAAGCTCCAAAGGCCTTTCTTCTCAATATTAAATTCCTCATTTTTCCTTCTTTTCAATTTTTTCTCATCAAACTGCTCCTTTTCCATTTCTTAATAAATATTCAGTGTCCCGTAATAGTTCTATCTTATTCTTTCCCACATGTTCAGTTTCTGGGAGATCTTCTGGGTCACCACAAAAGGCTACAACTCCTCTGAGCCTTCATTCTGGGTTACGGGGGTGGGGGAAGCAGGCTAAGAGGATCACCCTGTGTCCAGCCAGGGTGGGGCTCCATGGTTGCACCAGGATTGATGGCACCCAGTGGTGATGGCTTTGGGGGAGGGGTGGAAGGAACCAGGGTCACCAGTGACCCCTCACTTTTACAGAGCACCATGCAGTTCAGACACAGCATCTCGCTTAGCCTCATAGCAACCTTGCAACTTGCTACCTGATTGGTGACTCAGAAAAGCAGGTTCAGGATAGGTGAGCAATTATGTTCAGCAATGTCTTACCAAGACCACAGGTAATGTGAGCTTTGACACCCACGGCTGCCTGATTGAAAGCCTAAGTGGCTGGTGTTGCCCCGCAGCTTTCTGGCCAATGACCTTCACTACCACCCCACTGGGGCTGTCCCAGTGGCACTGAGTGGCCTCACAGTAAAGCAAGGTTTAAAAAGAAACGTATGTATGAAACAACTTTTTTTCCTCTTAAAACCAAAATGTCAACATCACGTTATCACAACAGCAAGAGGTTCCAGCACACAGCCCAGATGTGCATGGTCCCTGAGGTCCCTCAACCGCATGGGTGTCAGGCTAGAGTGCTCCGAGGTGGTCAAGGACATACGTGGAAATGGGCACAGATGCCTGCCCAGGGGCCTCAGATCTGCTGTGCATGCAGGGCCAGCTCCCTGTGAATGTCAAATCATGGGAAGGATGTGCCAACTCAAGCCAACAGCAGCCAGCAGTCCTAGGGCCCTTTGTAGTGTTTGTCACGTGAATCCCACAGGGTGCCGTTGCTCAGAACACAGAGGCTGTGTGGTGGAGAGGAGTCCTGAGCAGACACTGAAATGCAGACAGGATGGGCCCAGGGAGGAGCACAAGACATCCCTAACCAAGAGCCTAGCCAGAGCAGGGCACCACAGAAAGGAAGGGCAGAGCTGCCCCGGGGGTGATAGAGACAGGGACAGAAAGATGGACATCATACTGACACGAGCAATAATGGACACTTGTTGAGCGCTTACCACGTGCCAGGCTCTGTGCTAAAGGCATTCAATGCTCCTGAGGGGCACCCAGGCATCTGTGGACACCCCCTGGCCCTCTCCCTGGACACACACAGCATGGTACCAAATACGATTCCTGAGCATGGCCCTCGACCAGCTCAGGTGAGAGGTGGCTACTGCTGTACCTTCTAGAAGGCTGAAGTCCAGACACGGTGGTATGGCTCATCAAAACATGGGGAAAATATAGTCCAGCTCAGCTAGCAACGCACATTAACAATTTTTTGTTCATCAAATTACTGAAGACTAGAAGGAACTACTGGTGAGGGGGTGGTAAGCAGGTGCTCTTAGGCTCTGCTAATGGCAGTAAATACTAGAAGAGCATTTCTGGAAAGCAACTCTGCAATGTTTACCAAGAGCTTTGAAAATGTGTACATATACTTGGACTTAGATATTCCACTTCTCATGACCCATCTTAAGGAAATAATATAAAATATAGACTATAATAATGTGCCTTGCAACATTATCTTAATAAGTAGTCTAATTGCCCTACAGTTGGAGAACGTTGAATACACTAGGATATGTCCATAAGGTTGGATATTGCTCAGTCATTAAAAATGAAGTATATGAATTTTTCATGGCATGGGAAGATACTTACACAGTCCTTTAATGGCATCTCCTTCTGGTGACCAGATCTAGACCCCTCTGGTGAATCATCCCAATCTGACTCTCCTTCCTTGCTTCCAAGGACATCACCCCACCTAAGCCAATCAAGGCATTGCATTCCCTGGCCACAACGATTGGCTGGGGGGTGGGAAGATGACCCAATCAGGACCAAGCAGACACCATGAGAGTAACTGGGACTTCCTGGAAAAGAGGCATATGCTCCTCCCACACCAGATGTGGACTGGATGCAGACCTGCAGCCGCCATCTTGCCAAGACACAGAGATGGCGAGCAAAGAGCACACAGTGGAAGGCAGCTCTGAGCATGCAGGAAACCTCACTACAACTTTGCCTATACTCTGGACCAGCCTGTGCTAAAGCCAAACCATCGCTGAACTTTTCAGCTCTCATTAGTTAGCCATAATCCATTTTGCTCACGTCTGTTTGGATTCTGCTTTTCTGCAACCTGAAGTAAAAGGAACTCTAAATGACATGCTTTTTAATTTTTTTAATTGTGGTAAAATATACATAACATAAAAATTACCATTTTTAAGTGTACAGTTCGGTGGCATCCAGTACATTCACAATGTTATGTAACCATCACCACTACCCATCTCTAGAACTCTTCATCTTGCAAAACTGGAGCTCTGTACCCATTAAACACTAACTCCCCATCCCTCCCCCTAGCCACCACCATTCTACCCTCTCTCTCTATGCATTTGACTACTCTAGGTACCTCATATAAGTGGAATCATACAATATTTGTCCTTTTGTGACTGGCTTACTGCATTTAGCATAATGTCTTCAAGGTTCATCCATGTTGTGGCATGTGTCGGAATTTCCTTCCTTTTCAAGGCTGAATAATATTCCACTGTATGTATATACCACATTTCATTCATCCATTCATCCATCAGTGGACTCTAGGGTTGCTCCTACCCTTTGGCTGTTGTGAATAATGCTGCTATCAACATGGGTGTACAAATATCTCTTCAAGACCCTGCTTTCCATTCTTTAGGGTATATACGCAGAAGTGGAATTGCTGGATCATATGGCACACAATTTTGGGGAGGCGAGGAGGGACGAAGAAGATCTTTTGTGGCTCCATTAAGGCAGCCCCTCCCTGAGGCCCCAGCAATGGAAAACTGGTGGCAGGAGAGAGAGAGAGTCCTTTTGCACAAAAACGCCCACATCTGGGAAAGACAGAACAAGACCCACACTTTGTTCCCCATGACCCACACGTAAGGGGATCTGTCCAGATGGATTAAGGCCCATTTGTACAGAAAGGTAACAAGGTCTCTGAAATCACACCACCTTGAGGAAAGTGGGAGTCTAGGCTGGTGACCCAGGCTCCCCATAAGAATCTAGAGATTCTTGAGAGAGGGTGGAATAGGATCAGAGTATGACCGCAGTTGACCTCTTCTCTCGACCCAGCCACCTGCCCCGGAGACATGCCTTCTGGAGAATGGGTAAACCGGGGAGTGTGCTTAACAAGATAACAGAAAGCTATTATCTTGGTGCCCCAAGAGGGCCGTCACACAGGCGTGGGCAGAAAGCTGGACCAGCCAGGGCATCCCAGCAGCTGTGCCCCAGCAGCTGTTAGACGTGTGGGGCCGGTCCCAACAGCAAAGCTGGGTGCCACTGAGAAGCAACAGCAGGTGGGACCTGCTAGGACCTCTTTCCTCCTCCCCTCTTCCAGAATTACAAACCTGAACTGATACCATCCCACCTCCATTTCCTCCGGACTAAATAAACCTATAGGGCACTTGGACAATTCAGGAAAGAGACGCCCTAAAAGGGAAGAGCTAGGCTTCCCGATAACAGGGATGAGGAGGCCTCGTGCAACCACTTACAAACAAGAAAGGAGATGTGGACATATTGATACTCTGAGCTTGTTGGGCAGACAATTCCAGAAATATGCAGGATGTTGCCTCGCACTGCTCTGGGGGCACCATCCACATTACAGTCTATGTGACCAGCGCCTCCAGGCCGTGTTCACGTGCAGCCTCCATGGCCAGATGTGGTGACCCCCTGTGTAAGTAGGTCCACAGTCGTTTACCTGAGAGCCCCAAATCCGAAACTATCAGAAAACCTGAAGTTTCTGCTAACTCCTTTCATGGCAAAACTTGACCTGAATGGATATTTGTGTTTTCCTTTGTTTCACTGCAGAAACAATGTGTTTGATTATAGGGTGTTGTCCCCGGCCCCACTGGGGATATTACAGTATGTATGCCATACCAAAGTTCCAAACTCTGAATCGCAAAACACTCTTGGCCTCAAGGGTTTCAAATTGGGAATTGTGGAGCTGTGTATAGTATCTCAAAATGTTGACTGTGGGCGTCGCTGGATGGTGAGATTGTAAGTTATTTTTATTTCCTTCTTTATAATGTTTTGCATTTCCCAAATTATCTGCACTATACACTACTGTTATAATCAAGAAAAAAATCTGCCATGTTTTTAAGAAAACATCAGGTAGCAGCCCCTTGAGTTTCTCTGAGCAGGGTCAGGCCACCCCCATGCGTCCCTTGGCTCCGCCTCTTGACTGTGACAGGCTCCTGGGCTGCCTCCAGGGCCTGAGCACAGTGGGAGAGGCCGCCTTGCTCTCCAGCTCCTCCCAGCCTGCTCCTCTGCCCCCATTTCCCAGGCTTTGCACCGCTCATCTTTTCCCTGCCCCAGGAAGTTCTTGCGCTGGCCTGGCTCACTGCCCAGCATACTTCCTGCCCCCTCTCCAAGCAGCTCTGTGAAGCTGCACCCTTCCTATCCATCCTCTTCTGGCAGTGTCCACAAAGGATGGGGACAGCAAGTTCTGTCCAGGCCCGGCCATTTGGTGGCTCTTGGTTTCATCCCACCCCCAATAGGGCTGGGGAAAGAAACTGAGCGCACACGGGGATCTCTGCCCTCAGCCTGCCGTGGCCCCTCCTATAGCTTCCTGAAACTGCTCAGCTCACGGCAACCCCTCCCCAGGAGCCCTGCCAGCATGGGAAAACTTCACGTTCAAATCCTCCTCAGAGTAGACCCCAGAGTATTTTTAACTATGCTCATTCTTTGCCTTGGTCAAGCTCACACATGGTGGAAATGGACAGAGTGTGAGTGTGGACACGATGCTCTTGAAATAACATGGACCCTGGGGCCTTGCAGGCCCCTACTGGGCCATAGCTTGTCAGCTTTGTCAAGACAAGGGGCCATCTCCTGGGCATGCACTGGCCTCAGAGCCTCCCTCCCCCTCCTTTGTCTCCCCAGATTGCACAGTTCTGCTAACTGACCAGTGTGGCCCAGGCAGCCGCCCAGCTGACATGAGCAAGGACCCCCACCCCCACCCCACCCAGAGCAGTGACAGAGCTCCTCTGGGGTCCCCGGCCAGCAGGCCTCAGTGTGTTCCTAGAGAGCAGGCTGGGGAGGCGCAAGGCTCAGTCAGACCCGGGATGGAGAAGTGGCAGCCAGAATGCAGCAACCCAGCTGACTGGGGCTTGCAGTGACTGCCATGATGTTTAGCACAGAATCGTCTCAAATCCTTACAGCTCGCTTCTGAACTGGAGGCTCAAAGAAGGGACTTCCTCTAGGTCACACTTGTGACTGATAAGTGAGGGACCTGGGATTTGAACCCTCGACTCGTCTGACTCCAAAGTCTTCCTCACCTCACTAAATTATAGGTGCCACCCACCATCTCTAACGCTCAGGAACTTGCTGCAAGATGAGAAACCGAGGCACAGAGCGCTTGAGCCACACAGGCAGGCTCCAACCCCACAAAGACCAGGCCTCTTACTAACACTGTTGGGGTCCTCACCCCATCTGCCACCCCCACGGAGGTTTGCCAGGGGCTTCTGGGAGTTTTGTGTCATTATTTCTATATTTGGAGGACTTGCTGGTCTTGTTTGTTTCCTGGATTCTTCGTTTTGTGGTCCAGGAGATGGAGCACGTGTCACCCTGTCTCGAGATTCTTCTGAACAGAGCTGGCAAGGAAATGAGGAAGGATCCTAATTAGGGAGCAATAACCCCACGGCGAAACTCGGATTTTTTGCAGCAGGCCATGTCCTTCCCACAAGCCCTGAGTGTTTGTCAGATGTTTACAGAGCCTTCATTAAGGGAGAGCTCCCCTAGATAAGAGGTCAGAGCGCGGCATCGAGGGCCAGATAAGCACAAGTGGAGGACACTCGGGACTGCCTTTGAGCGCCTGTGAACTGGCCGGGGGGCTCTGCGCAGAGCGGGGGGCAGGACGATGCGGGCCCGCTCCTCCCCCGCTCCTCCCCGCTTCCGCTAACACACTCGGCGCCCGCAGACCCCTGTCCAGGGCGAGAGCGGGTCCCAAGATGTGCTGCGGGGCGCTGTGGGTGGCCCTGCCCGTGCTCGCCCTGCTGGCCTGCTCCGTGCAGGGGAAGCCGCTGGAGAGCCGGGGGCGGGCGCCGGCTGCGGGAGATGCCCGCCGCTTGCTAGGGGGGCCGGGAGGTGAGCAGGAAGGGGGCACCTTCGACCTGAGGATGTTCCTGGAGAACATGAAGGTGGATTTCCTGCGCAGCCTCAACCTGAGCGGGGTCCCCTCCCAGGACAAAACCCGCGCGGATCCGCCACAGTACATGATCGACCTGTACAACAGATACACCTCCGACAAGTCGTCCACGCCCGCCTCCAACATCGTGCGCAGCTTCAGCGTGGAAGGTAGAGCCGGCTCCACCAGGGCACCCCACGGGGGGGGAGGGATGCCGTGGTCTACAGCTATGCTGCCCAATAAGGTGGCCACTGGACGCATGAGGCTCTTGAAGATTCCATTTAAATTAATTAAATGAAATATAATTAATAACTTGGTTCTTCAGTGTCACCAGCTTGGACTCAGGTGCTCAGCAGTCCTGTGTGGCAGATGGCCGCCCTATAGGGCAGTGCAGATCGTAGAACGTTTCAGTCATCCCAGAGAGGTCTACTGGACAGCTCTGCTCTAGAAGATTCTCCCTCCCTGGGCCCAGTGCCACTTTTAACACAGTGTGTGCGGTGGGAATGCCAGCTCCCTTTCTTCTGTCCCTTCCCTTCCTCCCCCTTCCCTACTGTCCCCCTCCTACCTAGAAACAGACAACGTATTCAGCCTCCGACCATCTGGTATATTTTTAAGCTTTGAAAGAATGTCCATTTCTTTCTCATTGAAAGGTGTCTAAAATTCAGATAAATTCCTCTGAGAGAGAAACATTGGAGAACAACTTAATGATTTTCTAAATATAAAATGATTTTCCTGATTTAGGAGGACTAAAACATAACAGACGTCGACTTAGGGCTTCTGTCCACTGATTCACACGATGCAGGGGAAATGATGTTGTGAGCAGGGAGGCCGAGGCCCGCAGATGCCCAGGTCGCTTGCCCAGGTCACGTGTTGGTTGCCGGCTGGGTGCTGACCCAGGCCCGCCTGTCTGCACAGCTCGGGCTTCTCTGGCTGCTGTGGTCTCCCTCGAAACAGCCAGCGCACAGGGCCTCTCCCCTCCTGGGCTGGAGCCCTGCAGACTCCTAGCAGGTCTTTCTCAGGGCCATGGCAGACGAGACCCACCCGGCCCGCAGAGCACATGCCCAGACTAAAAGACACCGTGGTCATGATGCACGCCCAGCCCTGCTGGAGTTTCTGATTGCCCAAAAGAGGGAGAAGAATCTGGATTTTATGGGAACTTGCCTGATTCTTAAAACCTTGGCTTAATTTTTTACACAATGCAGTCTGCAGGTCACCTAGATGCTGCCAGCATCTCACCAGGCCCATAGGGCAGGTCTGTAACCTCTGCTTTAGGGGAAGGCTGGGCTTCTTTGGCTGAACCTAATCACCAAATCCTATAGCCTGGGAGTCCAGCGTTTGGAGCCTTCTCTATGCACCCTCCCCCACCCCCACCCCCGCCTTGTCCATGTCCCAGAAACAAGTACTCTGAGCCCATCCTGGCTCTGCCTGTGGCCAGTGCTCCTGGAGGCCAATTATGTTTCCCTTCCAGATGGTCCGGGTGCAGCTCAGGGAGGGGGGCAGTTGTTTTCTGGATGTCTGATGTGGCCCCATGGCCATTTTCAAGGCACCCCTGTACTGCTTATAGACCCTTCTCACTATTCACGTATGCCATGGCAGCTCAACAGGCTCTGCAGGAGTCAGAATGGCGCATCCATGCTGTGTGTAAGGCCATGTGCTATGTGGGGGTGGCGTGCACAGGTTGGGAGGAGGTCTGGGGAGGACACAGAAATATTGGTTGAGCATCTGCTGTGAGCCAGAGACAGTGCTGGGTAAATTCCATGTGTCATCCTGTCGAAGCCTCACATCAACGCAGGGAGGCAGGTAGGATGAGCCCCGTTCTGCAGATGAGGAAACTGAGGCAGAGAGAGACTCAGGATTTCTCCAAGGTCACAAGCCTAGGAAGGGGCAGAGTCAGGACTGGCACTTCAGTCTGTCACGCACCGCCGGCTTTCACAACGGCACACGTCTCCCCTCACGTTGGCATACAGTCGGTGCTCAAAAAAACGCAACTTCTCTTCCCTGTTTGTGACCGAGCCATGGTGTAATAGAGACGTGCTAATGGCCATGTGTCAGCCAGGAGAGCTGGGAAACCGAGACAATCACGTGGCTAGAAGGCAAGCCTTGTTTTTGCCTAACGTGACAAGGTAGTTGAGGCTAATATATTTTTTCCCTCAAACATTAAAAAATCATCCACTTTCGATTTGCTTGGAAGTTACAATTCTGAATGATTTCTACACTATTTAGAGGCTGAGATTTTTAATATTGTCTTCATGTTGGAATTTTACCATCCCCTGCCAGGATCTCTCCTTTAAAATCATACCCTCAGGACCTGCACTCTGAGGCTGACAGTGTGCTTTGCTGTTTTGTTTATTTGGCTCTTCTTTTTTTTTTTAAGTGAGGATCTTTATAGGATGTGTGCATTTTCGCAGTTAAACACCCTAAATCTCAGCCTGCACATCTGTAAAAGTGGAATAATAATTAGATCTTCCCAGGGTCACTATGAAGAGTAAAGTGAAATATAGTATGCAAAGCTCCTGGTACGATTCTGGGCATACAGTAGATGCTCAATAAAGAGTTGGACCTGTCAACTCCAAGGCAAGGCATCTTCTGCCTCTGTTTGTCTTTGGAAGACCCTAACTGTGCCTTTTAAAATACTCTTCTCCATTAAGGGCTTAATAGAGCCCTTATGTAACCAAACAGAGATTTGCTAGAGACAGAGTGTCCTCCAGGATGCCCTTCCCTCCAAGCCAGGAGTCTCAGCTTTGGTGTCATGAAAACACCAGCAGATGACCATCACCATGTGTTTGCATTTCAGATGCTGTCTCTATAATGGCCACAGAAGACTTCTCCTTCCAGAAACACATCTTGCTCTTTAACATCTCCATTCCCAGGCACGAGCAGATCACCAGGGCCGAGCTCCGGCTCTACGTCTCCTGTCAGAGTCGCGTGGACGACTCTCATGAGCTGAGGGGAAACATGGTCATTTATGACGTTCTGGATGGAGCAGACGCCTGGGATGCCTCCACAGGAACCAAGACCTTCCTGGTGTCCCAGGACGTTCGGGACGAGGGCTGGGAGACCTTTGAAGTCTCCAGTGCCGTGAAGCGGTGGGTCAGGGCTGACTCCACCAAGAGCAAAAATAAACTGGAAGTGACCGTGGAGAGTCACAGGAAGGGCTGTGACAAGCTGGATATCAGTGTCCCCCCGGGCTCCAAAAACCTGCCCTTCTTTGTCGTCTTCTCCAATGACCGCAGCAACGGTACCAAGGAGACCAGGCTGGAGCTCAGGGAGATGATCGGCCATGAGCAGGACAGTGTGCTCAGGAAGTTGTCCAAGGACGGCCTGGCGGAGGCCGATGAGAACAAGGACGAGGAGGAAGATGTGGAAGGCTACCTGGCCGCGAGGTCGTCTTTAGCCAGACGGAAGAGGAGTGCAGGGGCCAGCAACCACTGTCAGAAGACCTCCCTGCGGGTGAACTTCGAGGACATCGGCTGGGACAGCTGGATCATTGCGCCCAAGGAGTATGATGCCTATGAATGTAAAGGCGGCTGCTTCTTCCCCCTGGCTGACGACGTGACCCCGACGAAACACGCCATTGTGCAGACCCTGGTGCATCTCAAGTTCCCCATGAAGGTGGGCAAGGCCTGCTGCGTGCCCACCAAACTGAGCCCCATCTCCATCCTCTACAAGGATGATATGGGGGTCCCCACCCTCAAGTACCACTACGAAGGGATGAGCGTGGCAGAGTGTGGGTGCAGGTAGTGCTGGCCCACGGGTCGGGGAAGCGGGGTGGAGGGGGGTCCTAATGAGAGGCCCTGTGTCCCCCTGGGCATGACAGGGACTAAGTCCATCTGCACGCCAGCCTAGAGAAGGAAAGCGAGCCGCCACGTCCTCGAGGTCAAGGCCTGCTCTCCCTCTCACAGCCCATCGCAAGCACACCCCACTGGGTTTAACTGCAGGGGAAGGTGATGGCAAGGGGCAGCGGGCTTTGGGGAGAAGAGGAGAGCCTAGAAGGGTTGTTGGGGTGGAAAGGGAGATGATGAAAAGGGGACAAGAGAAAAAATCCAGAGTCAGCAGAAGACTGAGCAGAAATGAGCCAGAGGAGTATAGACAGACAGGTGGTGACTCACAGAGATTTATGGAAATTAAAAGAGGCGAGAAGGACGAGGCTTTTTCCAGTAACCTCAGGGAGTGCAGGAAAGGAATAGGCCACATGCTCTACACCCATCATTTCACGGATCCCCACAACCCAGTGAGATGGGCATTATGACCCCCAATTTACTCATGCCGAAACCAAAACTCAGGCAGGTCAGTAGCACCAGTCAATACAGCCAACGGGTCTCCACAGGTCTGCCAATCACCAACGCCCAGGACATCCCCCAGGGCCCCGTCGCGGTTTAGCAGGTCACCTTGTAGCTAAAGAACAATTGATTAGACATTGGGAGGCAAGGAGTGTGGGGCTGAGACCCAGCCAGCACCCACCAGTACGACTGGGTGCCTTCACATCCAGGGCATGTTCTGACTGCTGGGTGCCTGTGCTGATTCAGTGGCCAAATGTTTTTTAAGGTCACCGCTGAGTCAGGGAAAAACTACGCCCCAAATGACCGTGGGATGGAGAGAGTGCAGGACAGAAGCCCTCAGGCTGCAGCGCCCTGTGGCCACGGTACTTTGACCTGCAGGCACAGTGCTTGTATGGCCAGCGGGTCACACAGGGCCCCTCGCTGCCCGGGGACTCAGACTCAGATATCTGGGGAGGGGCGGCACATGTCGCCCTGAGGGGTAGGCAGCCTGCAGCCCGCATCTCCGCAGTTACTCTGCGTAACAAGCCCACCAGCACAACACACCGTGGGCTTCCCTCCCACCAGGACTGCCCGGGAGCAGGGGCCTGGATTTGAATTTGTTGGAATAAATGTGCTCTTGCTTTGGTATTGGCAACGTCCCTGTTTTTACTCCTTGGTGACGTGTACTCGAGTGATGATATCCTGGGCGAGGGCTCTCAGCCACTGAAGGACTCAGGTCCTTGTTGGGCGCAGCAGGCTCTGCCTGCCTTGCTGGTCCCTTGAGTACTGTGCATCCCAGCCCCTGTCCTGGGCTTGGGCTGCGGGACTGGACTCAGCCCCCACTTACCCCAAGAAAGGACGGAGTTTTCGTTTCCTCTGCATTTCATCCTCCCTCCTGACTCTCAAGGTCACACATGGAACGGGGTAGAGTAAGGAAGAGTCTCAAAGTGGTGAAAGTTCCACTCCAAGGCCTTCTGACCACTGGCCTTGGTCCCTCCTATAGGCCTCCTATAGGAGGCCTAGAGACATCTGGTCCCTTCCCACTGGTTGAAGCTCTCAGTATATTAAAAAAAATGGTTTATGTTGAATGTTTACATGGATCCAATGAATAGCTTTAACACAAAAATACAATAAAACTTCATTGTTCAATTACTGGAGTTATAGAAAATACTAAGTCCTGGTACAATGATGTTGCTCAATCATAAAGATGAGTGACGAACATCTTTCAGTTCTGGTGGTGTATCTCTGTGCCTGCATCAAAGTCTCCCTTGGAAATAAAAAGTCAAATGTCTAATATATGGCCTTTCCTGAGTGTGAGACCTGGGCCTGATGGCCCTCCAGCCCCACACACCTCCCACCCCTCCCTACAGGCCCTTCTTGCCCTGAGGGAGGGGTATGGAAATGAGGAACACGGAGACAGAGCTGCCACAGGGGTGAGTGGGCACGTGTGGCCAATGTCTCTGCATGTCCGTGTAAGGGTGCGTGTGTGGGTCTGCAGGCGTGGGCATGAGTGTGGGTGAGTGAGGATGTTTGCAAGTGGCCAGCGACAGGTAGCCCCATGCCTTCCTTGACCTCCCCACACGTCAGAGGAGGGAGGCTCAGCTCTCGCTAAGAGTCACGTCATTTCCAGCGGGCATCTGGGGCCTGCACAACTCTCCCAGCATCTGCTCCCCCCACGCCCCTGCTCAGACGCCCAGCTCCAGCCAAACACCCTCAAGGCCACTCCCTGTTCTCAACCCTCTGGTGACTGCCCTGGCGACCCCACTCCCAGCTCCACGGCCCAAGTCCACCTTCCGGGGCCAAGCTCTAGTGTCACTCCCTCTGGCCCCTCTCCTGATGCTCCACTTCTGATCTTCCTGGCCCTGAGGAGCACTACACTGCCTTATCCCACAGTTGTCATGGGCCTGGTGTAGGGACCTGCTGACCTCTTGTCTTGAGCGGCCTGTGGCCCTGAGTCCTCTGGGGACAAGGCCCATGAGCCTCCGGCCTCGGTCACTCTTGGAGGGCTGACTTGGCCTTTGGCTCAGGACAAACTGATTTGGACGGATGTGCTGGGACAGAACATGCAAAGAGTGTCCCAAGAAATGCTCTCTGTCTTCCATTTCACTGGGTTATTCTTTCCACCAGATTCCGCAAAGCTTGCTCACCTCCAGCCCGAGAAGGAAACACAACTGCAACAGCACCATCCTCTGGACACTGTTCTGCGGCCAGTTAGCCCTCTGCCAAAGGACCGCCGCTTTTAATGCTGCCTTTTTAATGTTTCCTAAAGCGTTTTCATTTGTGTCATATCAGGGCGGTGACATTATGTCATCACAGGTCTGAAGAAGCTGAAACCCAGCGCAGTGGTGAGTTGGCAGGGTTGGCAGGCTGTCCCCTGCCCCTCCTCATGTGACCCACCCTCTGGGTCAGGGGCCAGGGGAGAGAGAGGCTCAGGGACGCTGAGCAGAGCCACAGGCAGACGCGGAGAGACAGTGAGGCGGGCATGGAGAGGAGGCGGCGAGGAGATGCAGAGAGGGAGGCTGGGAGAGCCCTGAGCACTGCGCCAGGCGTGGAACTTGCGCTTGGTGACTCAGACAACAACCACAGAATAATAGACATTTTTATCCCCTCTTTTATGAAAAGAGAGGAGATGTAGGCACTTTAAGACCTCACGCTTTACTCAGAGCCGCAGCCAGGAACTGCTGGAGCCAGGATGTGAACCCCAGTGTGACGCCATCCCGCATTCTCTCTGCTGTACTGGCCTCTGTCCTGAGCCTTCCTCAAGGTCAAGGTCACAGTCACACTAGCAGGAAGAATCAAAGCTACAGTGGGAAGCAAATGAACGGACAGAGCCTGTGCTCACCCGGGCAGCGGCTGCCCTCCCCTGGGCTCTGCCCTCCCTGGTCACTGCCTCTCTTGTCCCGCTCGTGTAGGGTCCTCTGGTCAGCCAGGCACCCACAGGGCATCAGTCCCTGGAGAAGGAGGGGAAGGGCACCCTTCTCTCCTTTGATTAATGCTCTGTCAACACAGTCACTAAACATTGTGGCTTGTACTTCGTCCAGAATTCTACTAAAATTGGGAGAAAGGGACCTCTGGGTCAACTCTTGCTTGCAGCCTTTTCTTTTCCAAGCCCACCTTAATTCTCGTGTGAGCTGGGCCAGTACAGGTAGGAGTGGGGGGTCACACCCCTCTGATCCCAGAAACTCTTTTTCTCCCACGTAGAAGGCTTTGGTTCCATGTCCAGCTCGTCTGACCATCTCCCTCTGTCCTGGACTTCAGTTCCTCCCCAGGATCTTCCCTAGACTTCTGCTATTCCCACCCACAGGGCCTCTGCATCTGGGCCCTTGAGATGGGCCCACGTGGCCCCAGGTGGCTCCTATGCCATCACCTCAGTGGGTCCTTACAGTAGCCCACAGTGGGGTGAGGAGTGGAGACACAGCGTGGTGGACATGCTGGTATGGGGGATGTCGTGAGGAGCCCGGGGCAAGCCCCCCTCTGGGGGAACTCCCTCTGCCCAAACAGCTCCTGCAGCTGACCCCTGCCTTGAGCTTTGATGGGGCTAAGAGACGTGAGTAGAGGCCAGCAGGGCTGTGCTGGCTTCTTACCCATGGGGGCCTGTGCTCCCAGGCTCTAGGATGCACCAGGTGTGTGGCCTGCGCAGTCGCACATGGCCCCGAGATTCATTATTGTGAATCTTGAAATTCATAATAATTTTTGAACAATGACCTCACATTTTCATTCTACACTTGGCCCCACAAATGACGTAGCTGACCCTGAATGCATGTGTGTGCTCAGCATCTTGGTGTCCCAAGTCCCAGGGACGCTCTGGAGGCTGCTTTAAGCCTCAACCATGACTTGATCCTGGTGTGCCAGGCAGTTTGAGCTTTGCTCTGAGAGCTTGCCCCCGGGGTCTGAGCAATAGGACCACCCACACCCTCCCCGCTGGTGCACACTGAGGAGGTCCAGAGGTTTCTTAGATTTGTGACCGAAGACAGCGACACTGTTCAGATCTCAAAGGCCAGCCTATTCCACCCATATGGCAGCTCCTTGGGGGGATCCTGGTTCCTGGGAGAGTGGGAAGCAGCCTGAAGTGACGGGGTCCCGCTTTTCCCAGACTCACCTTAACGAGGATCCCTGAGACCGTACACAAGGCAGGCAGCTCTGCACACAGCGGGTTACGTGGCTTACATTTATTCAGGTGACTGAATAAACCTTTCTGAACTTCTTTCCTTCTCAAATTAGAGCAGCCACCCCAGGCAGAAATTTCACCCCACTGGCCTCATCTTCCCTGACCGCTTCTCACTCAGAAAACCATCCCTCCCCAAGGGAGCCCGTTTCATTAGTGGACGACTCTGCTCATCGGAAAGATGTTCCTGAGCCCAGGCCAAAGTCTGCGCAGCCTCATTCATGATCATGGAAAAGCGGATGGAAATGGTAATGTGATTCCGTCCTGTACTCATTAGATTTGCATAAATGAAACCATGTGACACTGTAAAATGCGGGTGCTGGCGGGGGGGAAATGAGCACTGTCATAGGTGGCTGGCAGGACGGCCAGTGGGTTTGGTCACCCTGGAGGACAATTCAGCAGCCTCAGTTAGAGCTGAGAGATCCAGAAACTGTGTTTCTTTATCGTCTCTCGGGAGACACCCTCACACGAGCAGAGAGGCACGCCCAGAGACAGCGTTGCAGCGTTGCTTGTAATCATGAAAAACTGAGATGGCCTTGTAGTGGGTGCCGGCTGCCCACCCAGATCCCCCGTCAGGACCGTCTGCTTACGGCTCACAGCTTGCCTCTCCCCAGAAATTGTCCGCAGCTGCCTACAGGGACGAACTCACTCAGGTTACATCCCCTCTGCAGGGACAACCTCCATCCAATAACTGGACATGGAGGATGAAGGCCTGGCCCCTGGCTTCAATTTGGGGTACGTGAGGGGCTGCCCCACTCCAGAGCTCCCTGTGGAATTGGCTGAGGCCCCCATTGCAGCCGTGTCACACCCAGCCTCTCCCTCTGACCAGTCCGGTGTCCTCCCCTCCCTGAAAGGTGCAGCTCCTGGAGCACTACCTGTGTGCCCCCCGCAGTCCCGTCTCCGTCTGTTGCCCTGGGAGCCGGATCTGTGACAGACCACATATCCACCAGTCGGCGAACAGCGGACTGAAGGGTGCCACATGCGCGTGGGGGAATAAGAAGAAGCCTACTAGTCGGTGTGCACCAGCGTGTCTCGGTATCTGAGATACAGCACTGAGAAGGCAGGCTGCAGCGTGAAACGTACAGTGTGAGGTCAGTTACACAAATAAAAACCCACAAAAATCTGCATGTCTTCTAGGTACACGCTTCCA